AGCCACGCCCACCCAATCACATGACCACCAAGCCACGCCCACCCAGCTGGACATTAGGGCAGAGAACTGGTTGTTAAACTATTTGAATCCCACCACTGGTTTAGACCCAAGAATATCTTACGTCTGTATGCCAAAGAAACTCTTCTATCACCCAATTACAATTTGGAAGCATGATTGGTTGCTGCTTGACATTTGACCTTCCTTCAGAACAACTCTGAATGTGAGTGTGCATTGTGTGTGTTTCAACTGAGGTCTCATAAGAACAGTGACAGACGCTCCCCGCCACACTCTCCTTCATTTGAACAGGATACCAAATTCTTCCTGGTAGATCAAAGGTTCCAGGCATCAGGGCCAAATAGTTATGAAATGAAGGAGAGACGATGGAAGGGACAGCAGAGAGGTGGATGGGATGGTGGTGGTGATGGTAGCCAATAGACCAGTGGACCAATGGCCCAGAGGTCATTGCCTAAAACACAAAACTTTGCACCTTTCGTAAGAATTCTCGCCTCTCTTTTCGCTTTAGGAAAAATCGGGGCCCGCCTCTTCATCAAAGAAGCAAAAAGAGAAAACTAGCACAAAGTCATGTGTTTAAAACAAAATGGCTTTGATTTAAAAAAAAAAACAGATTGGGATCACAAATTATATGCCATGCAGTCTACTGCTGTTGTGAACATGATTCCCAAGACTATTATCCGCCTACTATTCCACCATCCATAATTTTGCACCTGCTTCCTGAGAAAACTCACCATCTCGTTGTCTTCTTCATCTTTTTCATCATCTAAAAAGCGAATTGCACTGACTCTGTTTACCGCCTTTTCATTCCACATTTCGTCTGACATTTCATTCACCAAGTTCTCCAATGCGCCGCACCGGGGAAGGTTATCTGTTATGACGAGTAGAGACAGCAGATGTGCATGTCACAGATGTTTAATGTCACCGTGTATTCAAGCTTGGATGCCAAGATTTTATTGAAAACTCTTTGAAAATAACATTCAGCATTCACTTGAGGTGCCAAGCCTATTAGATTATTTTTCATTGCCTAAACTCTCCATGTTTAGTAACCTTTCGTTTTGTGAAACTTATTTTTAGTGAAATAAAAAACATGCCAGTACATTTGCATATTAATAAGCTCCGTTTTCTTTTGTTCCAATATTATGCATATTTTCAGTGTAGGAAATGGTTAAAATTCATTAACCATCCAGATTCATAGGGAGTTAATGGCGTGTGTGTGTGTGTGTCTGTGTGTGTGTGTGTGTCGACACAACAACTTCGTGGAGGCCCCTTGATGTATATATATATATATATATATATATATATATATATANAAGAAGAAGCAAACAAACTGGATGGGACCCATAGATGCTGAAATAGAATTCAAACTCTTCTATCCAGTTCAAAGATTTGATCGGTAATAACATCTAGGAAATTATTAGTTGCTTTTGTTAGTACTGGTAGGCAACTGTAAAGGGAGGTGAAAAGAGAAATATTAGCAATATCCTTTCCTTCTGTTGGTGGATAATACATCTTATTTATCAAATTATTGTGATATCTTATGCTTCTATTAACACTTCAGAAATGATTCAGAGCTGCAGCTTTGAAGATATATAAATAGTTATATTTTATGGCTCAGTAATTATAGGTTTCATTCATTAACAATAAGTCACACTGAACATAATTGCAGTTGCTTCCAGTAAATGAATTTAATTTTTAACTATTAATCAGTTAAAGGCAGATAACCAATCAACCAACCTCTGGTTCCCACATTAGTCAGAGATATATTTAAATGCTTAATCTCCAACTTGTCTCCTCTCAATAGGTCCCACCCATTAGGAAAGCTGTCATATAACTTGGTTTAGAGTTTTATCTTAGTTCAAAAGTTCCAAACCAGGCCAGTTTGCATCAGACTATGGAAATATCATAGCCTTACAAATAACCTTGCCTGTGGTTTAAAACATTTGATAATGGCTAAAAGTCATGATCATTTTATTCATCTCTTGCCTATCTTAGACTGTTAGAAAGTTTCTGACATCACATGTGGCTTTAAATCTCTAAGGATAGTAGGCATTAATCTGAAATTTGATTCTTTGGCACTTCAGCAATGCTTTCTCCCACTTTTTATTCCCACTTGGATGAGCAATTAAGACTCCAATTCAGTAGATAAGCTAGAAGGACAGGTGAACCAACTTAGACAAGGTTGAGCTATTCTCATGCCCTAAATAAAAGTTTGCCCTNCCTTCCCTCCCTCCTTCCCTCCCTCCTTCCTACCCCCCTTTCTTCTCTTTCTTCTCTTCAATTTCTTATGTTCCAATAATACTTACATTGGGAATTTGAATAGAAGCCTGTGTATAACCAACATGGTTTTCCTGAAGTTAATGCAAGTAAAAACTCATTGCAGAACTCCAAAAACAGTAGATCAGGTGAGAACCCACTAAATATAAAGAAATAAGGAACACAGGGCCTGGTCCCTTCATTCAATCTTGCATATCTTATGCAAGTCTAATACTTGAATGGACTATATTTTGCATGTGCTATTTAAAATCAGGATGGACAGCTCAAATTCCCAGGACCACACGTAAAATAATACCCTGAGCCTGCTTCAACCCCTATTACTGAAAATTAGTTGGTTTTATGCTATTTTGAGGATTAAAAAAACCTAGGAATTGTAATGTAAACACTAAAATATACTTAATATAATTCAAAAGCCAAAGATTCCACCACCCCCAACCTCAGAGGGGGCAGATTATGGCTGTAACCACCTGTATCCATCTTCTTTACATAATTGCTCTATCAAAAAATATTCAGTATTCTGAATTTGAGGAAGAGAGATATTTTCCCCAGAGGTAGTTGTATAGAAATCCTAGGATATGAATTCACCTAATCTTCTGCAGTTAAGGGGAATTACCAGATTAATAATAACTGTAAATAATGAGGAGGGAGATGGTAAGAAAAAGTATACAATATATACACAAATATTAGCATGGGTAAACCAGGATACTAGATAAGTCATTTCCAAATTCAGTTCTCAGTGTATCATGTAAGCAAATTGCTTACTGCTTCTCAGCAATAAGAGCACTTTCATAAAACTATTGTTTCGGTGCTTTTAAAAAAAAACATAGGAGCAATAAATGTCTTTTTACCCCTAATGGATTTCCAAGGAAATAAGCATATCAATAACCATATGAAGAGTTAGCAGGGAATGTGGATATTTTACCCTGAGAGTCAGTGGGCTCGCAGGAATTTTCTCAGGCTCTAAGCAGACCTCTGAATGTTGGAAAGCTTCATATTTCTCACGAGGAACATCTGGTTCATGGGCTGCAGAGGTGGTTAACCTATTGACCACCTCTTTCTTCACATTTATCTTATGTTCTTCGGAAGGGCTGGTTGACCCATATAATTTGTAATCACCTAAGAAAGACAGAAAGGGTTATTTATTAAGGGATGGTAGCCAATTTGTTTTTCGATTCTTCTAGATATTTTTAAACCCAGGAGGCATCTATAAAAGAAATATATACTTGAAGTTGTTGAGTAGAGAATGTAGAGTTTTCTGCTTGTTTAACCCTGGGAGTCAAATCATACAAAGTTTCATAAATAAGCAAAAAGTATTGCGAAAGTTTTCCTTCAGCTGGAGATCCACTAAATCTGGGTGAATACCAGGCCTATTGCATTTAACTAATTATACACCAGGAGAAAATGAAAAGACAGAATCTATATATTGTACATTTCAAAATCCTTTCAGGTTATTTCTGAGCACAGAAAGAGGTGGCAATAGAAGAAATAGTTTTCCATCTGCTTGCTGAGGCCAGAGTCTACTAGTCTCCCTACCAGAGGTGGGTTCCTACCAGTTCACACCTATTCGGTAGAACCGGTTCGTCAAATCTACCGAACCGGTTAGATGAGGTTACACCAGTGGACCCGGAAAGCAGGCCAGACCTACAGAAGAGGTTCCAAAATTTTTTGAAACCCACCGCTGGTGGGTGTGTAATGTC